AAAAAAAAAAAAAAATAGAAGGCCGGGGAGGTCAAGCGTGATGAAGCTTGACGGGCGCTCGGCGCTCAAAAGATTGGGCGCACACGTCAAGTCAGCCCGCCGCGCTGAGCGCCGTGCGCCAGTTGCATCTGCGGGCTGTATCGATCTGCCGCCGCCTTGGAGGCGGGCGTCACGTCTCCTTTTCAAAAGAAAGACTGACCCAGAAAATGTCAGGGCCCAATCTGGACGCGCCCCTGCGATGCAGATGCAAGTCTTGCCCGCGAGGTGACCCCGACAAAACACCGGCAAACAATCTTCACACGCTGGTACCGTACATCCCGCAGCTGCAGGTTGAGGCCCCGCCCTGAAAGAAGAAGTGGCGTGAGATGATGCTTGCCAGAGAGGCGGATAAAGGAGCTTGCTGTTCATCACTGTCGCGCCAAAAAGCGCCCCTTGGAAACCAAGATAGCGAATCCCCTGACAATGCGGTAGTTCTGGTTGCCTTACGCCTGCTAGAGGCCCTTGCTCGGTACAGTCAGAGCTCATCAGGTACAATTATGCGCAGCTCGGTTGGACACACGTGCTCCTCTCAATCCAGAGAATAGGGTCGAGCGCCATGCATCGTGATTGGGACAAATCCTCCCCCACGGGAGGTGTGAGCGAGACCGGTCTCGTCTCGCCTAGTGTTGCCCGTGCTACTCCAAGATATAACATGAGTGTCTCTTTCACAGGCCGAAGCCATCTCTACCACCTTCGAGCGTTTTCATAAGAGCTGCATCTGCCGCGTTGATGTGATGTGAAAGGATGTCCGGTGCACACCGGGTGAGGAGCAAGTCTGAGGCCAAGCAACACCACGCTGTTGGTCGAGTAGATCCCTAGACCCGGAGGGAAGGATCAAAGTTCAAAAAGTGGCGGGTCAAAGGGGCCCGTTGCATACGTCAAAAATCTTTCCTTTCTTTTTTCCGAAGATTGTCCACAGGGTCTCTGGTGCCACGCGCAACGCGGGAGGCCGACATAGCCGGGCGATCTGCTCGGCACTTCCATAGGGTCCCTGACGACCATTACCGCAGATCTCAAACTCCGTGTCTCACTCCACCGCGTCTATGGGCGGTGAAAGCTGATCGACGTGACACCGGTCTGCTGATGGTCGCAACTTGGATCTGACACCATACGATATCGGTAGCCTGACAATGCCAAGGGTATCGAGTGATCGTTTCCGTACTTGAACATCTTGGAAAGGGGAGAGTCGTTGCTGATCGTGACTCTAGATATCCTCAGCGTTGATGTAGGCGCCTTGGCAACTGTCTACCTTATCGGTTCGCGGTCGAAGGCAGACGTGACCGTATCTTGGGCAGGCTGTGCTGAGACGTGCCCTCGAGCGCAAGGCGGCATGGAAGAAGCGTGCTTGCTGAAGATATGAGGTCTTCGGAGGCCTTGGGAGGCATGATGCTGAGTCGCACGTCACGTCAGGCGGACGGGAGCGGGTGCATAAACTTGATGGCTGCGTGCAGCTGTCGCGGCGTGCTTGGCTGCGACACGGACCTCGAGTGTCGCCTGACGGACCTCGCGCTGCCAATTACCGCGCGCCATCGATAAGGCTGGCTGCCGCGCGGGACAGCCCGTACGCTTTTCACTTGGCCGACGAGGATTTTCGGCGATTTTCTGGTGATCAATTACCGATAAAATGTTTGGCGCTACTTCCTTCACTGCTGCAAATTTGTGCACGGAACACTTTCGAGGATCGCTGCCCAGTACAGCATCGTCACGGTGTCGGTCGAATTACTTCGCACAGCTTCTTGTGTCTGTGACGAAGTTCTGAGGGCTCGATCGCAAGCTCACATATGGAAGCTCAGCAGGGTCGCCCGGGAGACAAGTTCTGCGGCCGGACGAAGCACTATACGGTAGCTTGGTCACAGTAGAGACAGGCGACAGTGCGCATTGCAAAACGCCTGAACTACAACTTCGTTGCGACGTAAAGAAAGACATAGAGGTCACGCCTGACCGCTTCATAAGCTTGCACATCCAGCTTGAAAGCAGTGACATTGTACAAGGTCAGGCTTTCGACTTTGGAGTTGGTGCAAGGAGCGAGATGTTGGATTCCGGATCGCACCGTCGAGGCAACGGCGGAGCATTGAACTTGACTACTGTAGCAAATACCGTGTGCATCTACAAACAGACGGCTGCACGCACAAAGCCCGATGTACCGATTTGAAGCTCGTTGCCGCAAGCTGAGCTGAGCTCAGGAGGGCGAGATGTGTTTCGTCTTGAAGTGTGGGCCAGTGTTTCCGGTGCGTCGGTGAGTGTTGACGGACAATAGCTCGGCTGAACTCGCGAGCCGCAATGGTTGGGCACAGGCGAGGGAGGGTGTCCGGCTGTCAAAGATGTGTGTCCAGGTTCGGCTCCGGCGAGGGTCGAGCAGCTGCCAAATGTCGGACCTTGAAACACGGGGAGCACGTTGCATTGCGGAATTTGTAATTTCGGGGTTTTTCCTATTCCTTGGGGTGGCGTGAGTCTTCTTGACTCGAGGTGGGCTTCGTCAGGGCGCCAGTAAGAGCCCTGCGGTGCCTGCATTTTGTCCACCGGCTGTCGCGGGAGAGGGTCAAGCCAGAAAGGCTCGGACCCTCCTTTGGCGATCTGCATGAGCGCCTCCCTATTGTCTTCCGGGTGAGAATGCAATCCACGTGCCGGTGCCCACTCTAAGCAAGGATAAACGGTCAAATGATTGGCGCAGGATCGGCGCCCAGCCACACAGCGAGCGCCTTGGGCGCTGCGCCTTTGCGCCCGGGGCCGCACGGCTGCAGATGTCGCCTTGAAGCAGCCTTCTTGAACTGCAGGCACGCCGTACCCCTCGCTCGGTCATCTTACCACTCGGCTCAGTCAACTAGCTTTTCGTTCACGCAGTCCGTTCGATCACTTTTGCCTGCCCTAGCGGTTGCCAAAAGCTAAGCGATGGAGAGACACTTGCACCAGGTCGATCATCTGCGAGATCAGAGGCATCACAGGCGACATGGCTTTCAGTGTAAGGATTTGATCTTCGGTTGCACGACAATGACTGGCGATGTACAGTATTGGGTATCTCTTGTCGAAGGATCAACTTCCCTGCACAGTCTTTCAAAAGTCTGGTCGGTCGCCGGTCGATGATTGGAGGACGAAATGACATGCAGGTGCGGGTACGGCGTGCCAAGCATGCGTGGCTGGGCAAACGGGGGCGCCATTGGACCCGGACCCTTGGGTAAGCCCTTCAGTGCGTGCGTCCATCGAGCGCCTCGAGACCCTTCCGCGCAAACCCACGTGGCTCTAGGTGCCTCAGTTTTTTATTTTTTGTTTTGTGTTTTCCAATTCCGACTGTCAGTCTTCCTCTGCGTCCCTGGTCCGCCAGTGCAGATCAACAAAATCCAGTCGGGTGGACCGCTATCGCCGTCGAGCTCAAAAAGCGGGAGGTCCCTTTCTTCTTATCGGTGCCGTTACTCCCACGCCTTCGGTCCACGAAGTCCAAGAGTGCCAAAGGAGCTCGCATCTCACGGAAGAATTCTCGTCCCGTACCTCGATCTTGCATGGACCTCCAGCACCTCCGCTGCCCAAGGTGCAGACGCCGGGTTCCCGACCCCTGTTCAGCACAATGCACCCAGAACAGGAAATGAGATTTGCTGGACTTTCCTGTCTTTCTCCCTGGCAGGTCCGCTTGGCTGCCATTGTCACGGTTGCACTCACACTCAAGCTCTCATATTCACAGAAACGTAGATCCCACGCCGCCAAAGACGCAAGCCAACCGATCGTCTCGGCCAGCCACATCTTCCCAGCGGGAGGGTGCCAGGTTTTATCGAACCGTGCCCGTCGTCTCGGATGAACAGCTTGCCTCCCGGTCTAAGACAGAGCATGTAGCTTATCCGCAGCACTTACCCTTTTCGATATCCTCGCAGATGATTCACATGCGCTGCCTCTTCGAGCTTTCACAGAAGCTCTCATAGCGACCAGGCCAGCACGCATAGACGCTGGTATGAGGTTGAAAAAATCCCGAAAAAGATATTTGGAAAAAGGAAAAAATGCAAAAAAAGAAATAATTATTTTTTCCCAGCTGTCAGAAAAAAATTATATATTTTGATTTTCCGTTACCGAAAAAAGGGAAAAAGAGAAAAAAATAGCCCCTCCTCCCTCACCAAAAGTTTTCCTGCCTGATCGTTCCCGGGTCTGTCTGAGTACATGCTGATGCATGTCAGGGTGCTGTGGCGTCTGCGTTCCTGTGTGTCGACAGGAACACTGCTCGTCAAGACGACGCGAGCCCCCACCTCGCATATTCGGCAGCTATCTCTGCTCTTGGACGTTCATCCGCGACACGGGCCGGTGCCTGGCACCCGGCACGAAACTGTCGCATCTTGATACTGTCCCGCGTTCGAGTGCCGCAAGGTATCGTTGCACACGGGACCGCAAGAGTTTCTTGTCCTCCAATTTGGTCTCGAACACTTGGAGAACGAGATGCTTTGTGTCTTGTGCTCAAGCCTTTCCTGTGCAGGTTGGTGTACAGGGGTGTGTGCGAGACGCAGTTACTCCGAATCGAACTACTTTGCACTTCGCAAGTGCACCGCTAAACGATTTGCCAGCTACTTGTGTCCCCGAATGGAAAGAGTCTGCCCGTGAAGGTGATCTGCCCACGACCTTTAAAGACCCGTTCGTCCGCGAATGATCCCTCAACTCTGCACTTCCAACCAAGCCCAGCCTCCGCCATCTCAAGCAAGTCAAGCACACACAAGATGAGTGGCACGATCGTCATCTCGCCTCGACCCTCAGAGGAGATCGAGCAGCTCAGCGACATTCCAACACGAAGGAGCGATGCATCGGCAGAGCTCGGCGCATCTGGAAGCTTCCAGGGCGCAGGGAAGCTCTCGAGGGTGCCGCCTCCGCGCATTCAGAGCTCGGACTTCGACATCCCAGCGGTCGCATCCATGCCAGCATCGGGCTCGCTCCCAACTATGCTGAGCGCAAGCAGCTCGCTCGGCGGCCAGAGCTTCGGCGCGCAAAGCCTTCCGTCCAGCGGAAGCAACCAGCGATCTCCGCGGGGATCCGTGAATGGCGACTTGGTCTCCTCAACCAGCAACAACAGCGTCTCGGACCACAGCCGCTCGAGCTTCATGCCGCCCGTAGCTGGGCTGTACAACGCTTCGGCCAGCAGCTCTTCTGCGCATCTTGCGCTACGATACCGCAAGCCGTTTGCGCAGCGCGTTCTGCAGGATGGCGAGAAGGTGGACAAGCCGTGGCTGGACGACAAGAAGCGCAAGTCGTCGGACCGCAAGGCGTACTGGATCTTCAACATCTCGCTTTCGCTCGGGCTGATCGGCGCGGCGGTGCTCATGTACTTTGCCTACGCCGCGGTCCCCAAGGACAAGTACTGCCTCGTGCTCGATGAGCAGTTTGAGGGCAACACGATCAACAAGGACATCTGGTTCCACGAGCAAGAGACTGGTGGATTCGGCAACGGCCAATTCGACTGGACCTCGGACTCGACCAACAATTCGTTCGTCGAGGACGGCAAGCTGTACATTGTGCCCACGCTCACGTCTGATGCTCTGGGAGAGGCGGCCATCATGGATGGGTATGCGCTCAACTTGACGCTCTCGGGCACGTGCACTGCCTCGAACAAGACGGATCCGAGCTGCGCCGTGGCATCCAACATCACCAAGGGCGTCATCTTGCCGCCGGTGCAGTCGGCTCGACTGATGACCAACTTTTCGCGCACGATCAAGTACGGACGCGTCGAGGTCAAGGCACGCATGCCTACGGGCGACTGGATCTGGCCGGCGGTTTGGATGATGCCAAAGGACTCTGTGTATGGTCAGTGGCCACGATCTGGCGAGATTGACATCTTTGAGGGCCGGGGCAACGTGCCCACCAAGCGTGACAGCCGCGGTACCAACCAGATGCAGTCGAGTCTTCACTTTGGCCCCAACTTCTTGTTTGACGGATACGGATTTGCGACCAAGGCGCGCAACCTGTGGCGCGACTGGTACAACCAGGGCTCGCACACTTTCGGACTCGAGTGGACCGAGAAGCAGATCTACACGTGGGAGCACTCGCCCGTGTTCAAGAACCTCCAGGTGAACTACGACGATGGCTTTTGGAAGCGCGGCAAGTTCCCGAGTCAGATGGCCAACGGAACGCTGCTTTCCAACCCCTGGGCTGCGGTGCAGGGCAAAGATGCTAGCATCGCGCCGTTTGACCAGGAGTTCTACCTCATCCTCAACGTCGCTGTCGGCGGCACCAACGGCTACTTTGAGGACGGCCTGGGCGACAACAAGCCGTGGTCCAACGACGCGGAAAATGCCCGCGCGCAGTTCTGGGAGTCGCGCGACAGCTGGCTGCCCAGCTGGCCCAAGGATCCCAAGCAGCGCGGCATGGAGATCGAGTACGTGAAGATGTGGCAGAAATGCTAAGCATCTCCGTGCATGCCTCTAGCTCGCTCCATATTCGGCTTCCTCGCTTTTCTCCCTTCACTGTCTTTCATCTACCCTTGTCACCGAACTCTCTCTTTTGTTTTCGTCGCTTCGATACGTTTCTGCGATCCTGAAATGGTCAAATAGGTACTCTCCTTCCCGAAGCGTGTGCAGAAGATGGCTTAGCGCGTGCTTGCAAGTGGATCGATTGCACTACTTGGCGAAAGCGGGCCTGTTGCGAAGGCCCGACGGGGTATGTGCAGGGTTGGGCAACGAGGACGAGGTTGTAGACGAGGCGATGCCGATGCCAGCACCTGCTACCGAACCGCGAAAGCTGCCGGGTACGTCGATATGTCCATCGGATCCCGGCGCGCTGTCGGTGCCAGCAGCGTGACGTGAGCTGGCAACGAGGCCGCTGTTTGCGCGCAGCAGAGCGGCATGGGTAAGACCCGACGACTGCTGTTGTCCGGGCAGGCCGTATGCACCTGCGGTGTGCGCCCTCCACGCCTCGACGCTGCCGAAACCGCTGGGCATGCCGGGGGCAGAGAGGCGAGCGGCCGAGGTGGATCGCGAGTGAGGTGGGCGCGAGGAAGACGGCGATTCGGAGGCGGCATGCGCCATCTCTTGGCGTGCGGACTCGAGGTGGCCCGGCTCGACGATCGAGTCGTCGGTGCGTTCGACGCCTCTTCCGACGCTCATCTGACCGGCGAGGCCGGCAGCATGTGTGGCTGTATCGACGCCATTTGCGTGTGCAGTGGAGGACGAGTCGAGTCCAGCGTCGCCGGCTGACTGGGCTGCGGCGTTTGCTGCTGCTGGAGAGGGGACGAGGTTGGGGAGGGTGAGGCTCCAGTATCTGGGCCAGACGAAGCGGTCGAGGATCCAACCGCGGAGGCGCGAGATGAGGAGCTGCTCGATCTTTGGAATGTCCTGGAGCTTCGCGCGGGAGCCGAGCAAGCTGGTAGCGGAAGCCTCGAGGGCAAAGTCGGGGTGGAGGGAGAAGTGGAGCTGGTGACGGGAGCGTGGGGGCAGTGCAGAAGTTGGCGCTGGGGTGGTGGGTAGGATGGTTGCGTTTGGGTCGGAGGAGAAGAGTTCGACGGCGAGGGTGCCGGAAAAGCGCACGATGGTAAGGCTGAGGGACACCGGGAGCACTGCGAATCTGGGTTTGGGGAAGTTGATGAGGAGCTTTGTGTCGATGGCGAGGGTGATCTGGTCGGAGTAGTCGACGTCGATTTCGATGCGTGTGCGGCCGGTGTCGTCGGCAGGGCGGACGCGTGCGTTTGTAAAGATGGGGTAGGCGTCGCCAAAGTCGGCCTCTGTGACGCGGATGGGGTCGAGGAAGGAGGAGGTGGCGCGATTGAGGATCTCTTCCATGAGGTCGCGCGCGGTCCTCTCCTTTTCCGGTTCGAGATGGGGTTGGCCTGCGGGGTGGGAGTCGGCGCCAAAGTGGATGCCGGGGGAATGATGCTTTGGCGGATGGGAGGGGCCGTTGTGCGGATGAGGCAAGGCGCCGCCTGCGAGAACGTCTTCGCGGTAGCCAGCGATGGCCTGTGCAAAGACGACGTTGAGCCAGTCTGTGGATTCTGGAAGGTGGGATGCGAGGTCGTAGCTGGTCTTGTCGAGGATGTTGGCAAAGGTGGAGGCTCTGGCGTCGGACGAGAAGCGGTTGGACTTGCGGAGATTGTCGGCGGAGGATGGAGCAGGCGCAGCTGCGGCCCTGCGTGCGCCTTGGAGGAGAGCCTTTGCATGACGTTTGGAACGGCGCTCCGAGATCTTGAGACGCATGAGACGCTCCTTTTCGAGCGCGGTTGCCGAGTCCTCAAAGATGACGTATCGGATGAGGAGGAGCGCGATGACGACCATGGAGATCTGGCCTACGATGAGGCCCTGTGTGAAAGTCCATCGTGATGGATTGGGCGCGTGCGCAAAGTAGGCGGTGGGCGCGAGGAGGTGGTGTTGGTGCGGTGGATAGGCGGCTGGCGCCGTGGAAGGGGCGTGAGCGTCCATAGTGAGGCAGAGAAAGAAAGACGGCCTGCGAGGTCCAAGCTTGGATGGTAGGCTATTGATATATGAGCGTGCGGGTGTGTGTGCTCCTCATGGCTGGCGATCGTCGAGCGGAAAGGATTGAGTGGACATGGTCAAAGGGGAAGTAAGTAGCACGGCTGGCTGGCTTCCACAGCGCGGATCTTCGCAACGCGACCGAGCGAGTGGAGCGAGTGGAGCGAGACACAGGTGACAGATCGGCGATATTGTTATCAGAAACATTGTGCAGATCGGGAGATCGAGACGGGGGTGTCGTGCGAGAGCGCGATGGGCGCGAGACGCCGAAACGCGCGGTTCACAGCTGAGCCAGGCTGTCATCGCATCGTCCACCGCGTCGGAGTTGACTCGGCGCTTATGCCTTACGTGACCGCGCACAGTCGACGTCGGGAGCGAGGTGTTGCACTGCACAGCAGCGACAGTATCACGTCTGCTGACCAGGCGGCGGAGTTGACAACAGCTCTCTGCAAGTTTCGAATGCAACACGACCAACGGCTTGCCATGCGAAGCGAGCGTTGAGACGTGGTGCTGGCCATGCAAGGTCGATCCTCAGAGGCTGGCGTAGGAATGCGAGGTGTGGTGTGACTTTTGAATGTGTTGATTCGGGCGCTGCTGGCACCCAACCCAAAATCCAAAATCCAAAATCCAAAAAGCAGGGTTTCAGCCGCGAAGGGTTTCGGCGGCATCTCAGAGCCGAGCGTTGGGAGAAAGCGCAGCAGGGCAGCGCGTTCGGAGTTTTGAGAAATTCGCATTTTGCCACACGCCGGGCCGCGCGCGATGCTCAAAGCTCAGCAGCAGCCTTTTCAACACGCTGCCCACTTGTCTCTCCACCCCTCTCCTCCGCTCCACATCATCCTCACCCTCATCCTCATCCTCAGCATCTCGGTCTCCAGCCATGGCCGCCGCATCCTCCTCCAAGATGCAGCTTTTCTCTGCGGACGACGTGTCCAAGCACAACACAGCCACCGACTGCTGGGTCATCCACCGCGGCAAGGTGTACGACGTCTCCGAGTTCGTCGAGGATCACCCGGGCGGTGACGACCTCATCCTGCGCTATGCGGGCAAGGACATGGGCGAGACCATGGACGATCCACAGGAGCACTCGCACTCGGACTCGGCCTACGAGCTGTTGGACGAGCACATCATCGGTCGTCTTCCCACCACCGACGCCGAGAAGCAGGCGCTCACCGAGCGCGCTGCCAAGGGCGGCTACTCGGGCAAGGACGACTCGATCGTCATCACCGACGACTTCCACCCCGAGGAGACCGACTTTTCGTCCGACTACAAGGCGCACAAGTTCCTCGACCTCAACAAGCCGCTCATGCCCCAGATGCTCCGTGCCAACTTCTCCAAGCAGTTCTACCTCGAGCAGGTGCATTCGCCACGCCACCTCAAACATCCCGCGCGCTTCTTCAACCAGGACTATCTCGAGGTCTTTACGCGCACGCCGTGGTACGTCGTGCCCATGGTGTGGCTGCCTATTGCATCCGCCATCTTCTTCCGCTCCACGACCCAGTTTGCAGCCAACCTGGCAAAGACGCCGCTCAACGCCCACACCTGGTACGAGGCTGCCACCAAGCCGACGCAGTTCGACACGTCCGTTTGGTCCATTGCACTCACCCAGACTGCGGTATGCTGGGTCGTAGGCGTGGTCATCTGGACGCTGCTCGAGTACGGCATCCACCGCTTCCTCTTCCACATTGACGACATTCTGCCGGACAAGCCCATGTTCCTCACGCTACACTTCCTCCTGCACGGCGTGCACCACTACCTGCCCATGGACAGGCTGCGTTTGGTCATGCCTCCGCTACTTTTCTTCCTGCTCAGCTATCCCTTCACCCAACTTGCACACGTGCTCTTCCCCACAGCCGTGGCGAATGGTATCATCGCAGGCGCATTTAGCATGTACGTCGTATACGACTGCATGCACTACGCCCTCCACCACACCCGCCTCCCACAGTACCTCAAAAACATGAAGCAGTACCACCTCGAACACCACTACAAGAACTTTGAACTCGGCTTTGGCGTCACCTCCAAGGTCTGGGACTACGTCTTTGGTACCCAGCTCTAACCTCCTTCCTCCTAGATAATTGGTTTCAATGCGCAGTGTAAATATGCTTTGCTTTACTTTTAGTTGAGTAGACTGTTGGTGGTTTGGATCGTCGTTGTGGGTCCGACCACGCGCAGCTTGAGTCGAACGTTGTTGATCGCAGGTGCAGTCAGCAGCGTGAGCGACGTGGCGAGGTCCTGCGCGTGGCGGGCGTCGACTCGCAGCAGTGCATGCCAAGCCGCTTCCTCCTCACACGGCGAAGGATGCGTCGAGAGAACGTCCACATTGTACGCGCCGCCCGTGACGCCCATCGCGCCCGTCTGCGCTTGCTGCACCAACTCCACCACCAACGTAGGCAGCACCGTCGTTAGCGATCCCCCCGACGCGCGCGCCGCCGAAATGCAAAGCCCCAGGTACCGCCACTCGGTAGGCTTGAGGCCCTTGCGCACGTACGCTTCGCCGGAGCTTGGCTCGTCACATGCTTGCACTGCATCTGCACACCGATTCCAAAGCACAAAGATGCAAAGCAATGTCAGTCGAGGCACAACGCAAGCGAGTGAATCATCTGCCATTGCAGATCGAGTGCGTTGCGAGACTACATACTGGCCTGTTGCGACGCTTGGCCGTCTTGCGTCCCAGTCTTGCCGTCCGACGACTCGCCAGTGGTCGCTGCCACAACGCTAACCGAAGCAGCCACCGCAGCGCCCTTGGCGCTCGAGCTGCCGTTCGCCTTGCCCTTGTCGCCGTCCGCATCGTTGGCCGCGGCTGACCCCTCCTCGGCCTCTGCCTCGGTGTCGGCAGCAAACAGCGCCTCCATGGCAGGCGTGTAGCTCTGAATGCGCTCGAACTGGCTGAGCGGATACGTGACCATATCAAACGCCAGCGCGATCGGCACGCGCTTGCCCTGTGCGCTGTCGCTCATGGCAAACAGCGACGACCTGGCCATCTTGGGATACCGCTGCGAAAAGTGCGTGAGCAGAATCTTGGCCGCGCCCATCTCGTGACCCACGCGGATCGCCTCGCCGAAGGTCGAGTGGCCCTTGCCGATGGCCATCTCCAGCTCGCTGTCCTCCAGCGTCGCCTCGTGGATGAGCAGCGTGCAGTCGCGGCCCGCCGCAATCAGCTCGGGCGCAGGTCGCGTGTCGCCCGAGTAGGTCACCGACCAGCCCTCGGTAGCGTGTCGCACCACGAGGCCGTAGCAGTGCGAGCCACGGTGGTCCACACGTGCAGTGTGGATGTGCGAGAGACCAGTCAGCTCCTTGATGCGCTCAACGTGTGCGAGGTGCTCGCTTCGGGCACGCGCGTCGCGACCGAAGCCTTTGGCGGCCGTCGTGGCAGCATCTGCGGCGGCTGAAGGGTTTGGATCGACGCCGGTCTTGTAGTCGAGATGGTGGTTGAGCACAAAGATGACATCCTCGTCCAGACCGAGCCGCTCGATCTGCTCGTACTCCTCGAGGTAGTTGTGCACGAATGCAGTTGCCACCAGGTAGAGCGGCTTGTCCGCGGCTGGCTGCAGCTTCCTGCGTTCCAACAGCAAGCGAATGAGGCCAATGTGATGATCGGCGTGGATGTGGCTGATGAAAAGGACTCGCAGGTCGCGGAGAATGTCGTCGACGTCCTGATCCTTCAACGAGCCACTTTGCGCGGCGGTGCCGTCTCTGCGACATCCAAACTTGCGGCGCAGCAAGCCATAGGTGGACTCGCCGGCGTCGAGCAGGATAGTTCCCGAGGATGGCGTCTGGAGGAGCGTCGAGATGACGTTGCGGTACTTGCTCGGTGCTGCAGAGCCCGTTCCCAGAGTGGTGACCAGCACATCTTGGTCGGGCGCGGTGGCTGGCTCTTTGATCGAGCCGTTTTGGTTTGCCGCCTTGATGGTCTTGATTACATCGAGGTACTCTTGCCATGCAGTCTTGCGTGCCTCTCGAAGACGCACGCTGCGAGCTGCGCCATCCTCGCTATTAGCGGCGTTGTCCGAGTGGCCCTGCGGTTTGGACTTGGCGTTGGCGGTGTTTTTCGCCTTTGCTTTGGCGAGTTGTTGAAGCTGCTTGTCGTCCTCCTCGACGGTCTCGACTCGGAAAGCGGCGAAGTTTTCTGCCTCTTGCGAGTCGAGCTGGAAATCAAAGTCCGGAGCGCCCGAGGCGTAGATTCGAGGCTGGCCACGCGGATGCAGCTGGATGACCTGGTCCGCCTCGGCCGCCGCGAGCTTGAGATTCAAGGCGGTGGAGAGCTCTGCCAGTGGATGTCGGGGCGTCAGCTGGTACTGAGGCACCTTGAACATGACGTCGTCGAGTTTGGACAGACGGAGCGGAATGGTGGCGCTGGAAGGGAACATGAGCTTGTTGGCGCATACGTCGGCATTTGCGATGATGTGGTTGCAGTCGGGGCCGAAGCTTTGCATCCAGGACTGGTAGCGAGTGTCGTTGAGCACGTCGAGGGGTACGGCGTGGACGATGGCGTGCGGAGTGTGCGACTGCTCCTGGGCGGCGTCACGGTTGGATTCGGCTGTGTAGGGTGCAAAGGCGGTGGCGACGTCGTTGCTGAGCAGGTCGTCGATGTAGGCGGCCGAGGGGAGGTAAATGTGAAAGACGACGGCGCCAGCGCGCGAGGCTCCCATGACGTCGGTGGAGCGCACCAGGACGTCTTCGAGGTCGTTCCAGGCGGCCGGGTGGGCCTCTGGCGTGTCCTTGTTGTCGGGCTTGGCGTTGGGTTTGGATGGCTTTGGTTTGCCCTTCGAGGCAGCGTTTCGGGAAGCGGCTCTCTGATGCTGCATCCACTTTTGCCTGTCGTCGGCCGACATTGTGGGCCAAGAGGTGGGACGCTGGAGGGAGACGTCTTCGCCTCTGGTGAGGGCGGCGAAGGAAGGACCTGGGGGCACGCCCAGCTGAGTGGCCTTGAGAGGATCGAACTTGCCTCTCTGTTCGTGAGCCTGGCAGATGTATGCAAGCACGGACGCTTGACCGCCCTCGGCTGGGTCGAAACGATCTTGGGACAGGTTGCGCGAGTCGACGTGAGGTTTGGGGAGGAGGCGCATGACGAATGCTGGGGAGAGAGGTGGGCGCCAAGTTGACGGAGTGCGGGAAGGATTGGATGTGGCGGTTGTGGCGGGTGGTTGGGAGGTGGCATCATCCATCTCGACGTCTTGGATGGAAGAGACGAGTTTTGAGCCGACTTCTTGCTGCTGTTGACGCTTGCGGAGGAGCGAGTCGTTGAAGATGCTGTCCGAAACGAGCTGGATCCAGGCTTGCGCCTCCTCTGGTTGAAGCTGGGATGGGTAGAAGTCCGGCCTGCGCCAGAGCTGTTCGAGCTTTTGGAGGGTGGCAGGCGAGGCTTGAGCGGAAGAGTGACCGTTGGCAAGCTTGGGCTTCTTTGCTGGCCTGTGCTGCGCTGTGGTGGGTTGGAGTGGGACGGCGTAGACGGCGAGGTTGTCGTCGCTGAAGATGGGGCTGAGTGTGGGATGCGAATGTGCGCCATCCGAGGAAGCGGTGGCGTCGACTTCGTGAATGTTGAGCTTCATGATGTCTCTCTTTGCGTATGATCGCATCGTTGCGAGGGCGTAGCGCAGACCTTGAGGGCCATGGAGCGCTTCGGAGGTGCGCTGACCGTCGGCCATGGACATGAGGACGCCCGGAAGGCCGCCGATGGTCTCCCATCCTACGCGCGAGACGAAGATGTTGGAGACGCGGCTGAGGTTTGCTTTGCGTTGGGTAGATGATCTGGAGGTTCCCTCGCCGACGTTGAAGAGGTAGCGATCTGCGCCGAGCTGGAGCACGACGGGTGGCACGACATTTGTGTCCGAAGACGGTACGTGAAGGACTCGGAGATCGGCAAGCATGGTTCGATGCTGGTGCGGGGTGCGAAGAGATGCCGAGGGGTGGGAGGAGCGCCAGCGAGGCTCAAGGCTGCGCAATCGAGAGGGGGACGCCCTTATGGCTAGAGTCGGTGGTGCGAGCGAGGAGAGGCGTGGCCACCACATCCGCTGTCAGAGCGCACTGTGTTGGAGGCGCGTTGGCAAGCGATGCCGTTGGTTGGCGAGGTCTATGTCGAGGTGGAGAATCCGACGGATGTGAGCATCGCTGGTAGGACTAGGTGATGGTGATGGTGGTGATGCTCGAGGAGATCTGCTGCTGCGCGCTGTGAGAAGAAAAAAAAAGTGAAGCAGAGGCGCCAGAAGGAAAAAAGGGCGTCGGTCAGGGTCCGCAGAGGCCAAAATTCCCGCGACTTGGCCCAGCTGAGATGTGGTGATTTCGGCCACAGGCCGAGGTGGAGGTTTACCGTCCGCCACAAGGCGTTGTCGGCCAGCATCCGGCTTGCCGCCCCACCGCAGCAATGGCAGCGCTTCGGACGCTGTGCCGACGACGACGACGATCGAAAGCTGTCAGGAGGCTGATCACACTTTGCAGTCAATCACATCACATTCCCACGTCTGAGTTAGAGACCAAGCCGAATCGATAATGTGACGGTAGAAAGAGCAGCCTACGACATGCGCAGAGTCGCTCCGCGTCGTCTAGTCTGAATCAGCAGCAGCGGCACTTCCGAAGATGGCCTTCCAAGGCATCGCAGCTGCCCTTTCATTTGCATCGCCCACTTCTCCCGCTCGGTGCCGCCCCGGCCGCTCCGAAGTGATCTCGTGGGCCAAGAGCGCAGAGCGCGGAGACGCGCGCCTGTGACGGAACAAAGGGCCCAGGCGCCCGTTTACGCTCAGCCATCCAGGCTCTGCTCTTTCATCTCAGCCTCCCCATTTTTATCGTCAAGCAACCATCCATCCTCGATCGCCGCCATGAATCCTCTTATATCCACTTCATACCATGCAAGTGCCACCGCGCACGCCTACTCCCATGCCAGCTTCGCAAGCGGCACCGTTTTCGTCTTCCGCGAGGGCGAGCTTCTCGATCCCAGGGACACCTCGGACGACGAGCTCGACCACAGATTCTGCGCCGGCAGCGTCTTTGCGCGCATCTTGGACGGCCAACTCTTCGTCGCCAACACCAACTCGCTTCTGCACCACCTCAAGAAGCTGCCTCGCTCCGCCGAACGCTCGCACACAGCACCCAATTGGGTCTACTACAGCCAGGAACACAACTGGATCGGGGACCTCTTTTGTCTGCTCGACTACCATGTCATGCCCAGCCCTGCAGATCCACTCGCGCAATTCAAGCTGGTCACCGCCGACGGACAAGAAAGGCTGCCAAGACTGCCCATCAAAATTCGCATAGCGGCGCTGCGCTCCGACATCAGCCAACTCTCGGAACTGCTGCGTCGTGACTTTTGCACCGAGCTGTTGCCCGACAAGATCCTCGAGCATCCAGCCGTATTCTTTCGCCGGCGATACAGGGTCATTCGTGCCATTCAGAAGCTGTACACTGAACACTCGGCCATGCTCTCGCCCGACGACAACATCTTCTTCTTCCGCGGGTGCAAGGTGTGCGCGCTCTACGACCCGCAGGTCATCCGTTTCTCGCAAGATCTACACGCAGTATTCCTACGCATCTTCCACGGCGAGGACATCAGCCCGTCCGAATGAATGGCAGCGAGACAGCCTCATCGTCCTCAGCAAGGCGGGACACGTGTGCGACGCCGAGCGTGAGAACAGGCGACTTCGGACGCCTCATTTGTAAAGCCAAGAGAGAAAATGTCGGAGGCTGCTGCACAAACTAGCATAGAGCTGATTGGCGCCTTGACCGCGCTTGCGCGACGTTCGATCCGAGACGCACATTCAAGAGGTTCATTGTATGAAGCACGCGCCACCTTTTTCACGGCGTACTCGCACCGCGTCTTTTCGCCAACGTCTCTTCTGCTTTCGTATACATGCTTGGTTGAGGATTGGAGAGGTTCGGGGCTGTGAAAGTATGCAGCTGCGAAGGGCAAAGCTTTCGGAGGGTGGGTAGTTGGGAACGAGGAAACGTGGGAAAGAAGCGCCGCCACGCTACATATGAGATGAAACGGGTGACACCACGGTGCAGTATCGAAGCTTGCTCGACCGCGGTTCGGAGTGCTCCGATCGTATCAAAGTCGATCAAGTCAAGCCACCTCGGAGGCTTTTTGGTAGTACAGTATCAGCTGGTGAGGATAAATATGGACGTCGCTTTTGGGAGGGGTCTGACACATCTGCATTGTGATGCTGTCAGCATGAAGGCGATACTTGTATGGGTCTTGATTTGGCTTTGTATGGCGGTGGTTGAAGGACGGTGAGTTCGCGTTCAAGACGCATCGACAGTCGAAGCGCATCAGGCGGCCGCACGTTCACGTGCATTTCAAAACTCATACCGTCAAGCTTACCCTCTGGACCTTGCATTGCATCCTTCACCTTCTTCCCGAACCTTTCTACACGACTATCCCGCTACGATTTCGTCGGTCACGCAAGACCTAATCCACAACGGTATCTCTCCAAGTAAGTGCAACCCTGCCCTTGCTATAATGAGTTGAAGCTGACCAAAGTGATACAGATATCGCTCCACGTTTGGACGAACTTCACCAAGCCATACACAGCCAGCTCCTGGCAGCGTTAAATCCAGCAATCATTCAACGCCAACCTTTCACTGTCCGTGTGGCTCATTTCGAGACGACAACCCGTCTATCCCTCTGGATGATAGACAACTATCATCAGTTGCTAAGCGTCTTAGGCGAAAAAAAGGGCCAGCGAACCTACGAGATTCTTCGCAAAGACGCAGGAATCCGCCGTCATTGCTACGATCTTCACAGAAAGACCTTGACCCTCTCCATTAGACATCTACCTCTCGGTCACCCTTCAAGATCAACGACACAACCAATGCCAGCTGTATGTCAAGATGGTGGAATGAAAATACGCATATGCAAAGACGACAAGACTACAAGAAAAGTTGCCCCGAACCGAAAGAATCAGGATGCGCCTAGCAGAGATCGCGCAGCTCGTCGCTGCGCATGCCGTAGTAGTGGCTCGTGGCGCGCGGCTGTGGGACAGCCCGTCGTCGGCGCGCTGCGGTAGAAGCGGTGCTAGGCACCCTCACGGCGTCGTCGCCACGCGCCTCACCCCACCGCCGCACGCTGATGTCCGAATCGCTCGACGTCCATGGCGAGTCCGGCACGTGCGCATCGGCAGCAGCGCTCTCCAGCGCCATCTGCGTCCTCACCGCACCGAGCGACGCCGAGCGCTGCTCGCGGATCGTGCGCCGCACCGACATCTGCTGGGCAAGCGCCCGCGCCTCCGCTTCGGCGGCTGCGGCGCGAGCCAGCTGGCGCTCTGCGCGCTT